ACTGCTACAACCTCTGCACTGAAGCAAACTATATTGTCTATGACGGCTCGCATGGCTTAGCAAAGATTACAGTTACTAGTTCCACTAATAAACATTGCAATGTGTCATGGTAGATCTACCATAGCTCAAAATTGAAAAACAGCGCTTTCTAGGCATATTTACTGCAACTAAACCACCAATACCACAGTAGCTAGACTCCCAAAGATTCCAGCAGCATGACGTGAGGAGTCATTGCTTTATATGTGGCTTCCATTTTCACAGGCCATATCCTGTTTTATGTTTTATTAAATACAAATATCTTCAGCCCAACTTTCAAAATTTACCAAACTGAAGAGATTATCCAGACGTTTGGATAAATGTATAAGTTATTGAACACTTTTAATAAGCAGTGCAGTAAAACTGGTTTAAAATACAAATTTCTAGTTCATCATATGCTTTAGTCATATCCACAGTCAACTTCTTTTCACTTCCTTGATCAATATTTTAGGCAATATTAGTCTCATTACGTATTTAGAATTTTATTCTATATAAAGTACTTAGATACTTGCAATTCCAAAATAAAGAAAAATAAAATATGTGGAGAATTGCTTAGAAATCCTTAACATTTGGGTAAAAATACTTTGTTTGGGAAGTTATATATTATTAAAGCTGTTACATATAATGGCACAAAAAGCATACCCAGATGGTGACATATCCAGGATACCATTTTGATTTAATTTTTGAAATGTGAACGAAGACGCATACGACTACTTATTTGTAACACTCTGCAAGCTTCTTTGTTTTTTGAAGAGAAATACTTCAGCTTTAAACTGATGCCCTGCTTGAGGTGTGAAAACCAACATGTCAGTGTGAGTAACCCTTAAACTGTGAGCTAATATGCATGAAGCTTTAATATGTATTATGTATATGTATTACTTATGCTATTTTACAATTAAATTTGTTTTGAATAGAAATGTTTATGCCTTAGTTAAGGTGACACAATCAGTATATCAATTGTTATTTATCTTGTAAATTATACAAAAATTGTTTTGGATTCAATTAAAAAAAGGAAAAAGGAAAAACTGTTATATAATTATAAATGTCTGATAAATAGAAAAGGTATCTGAAACAGACTAGCAAGTGTAATATCAAGTCAGTAACAGACAAATGATGACTTGCCAAGATCAGTGTGTTGATCTTCCTAATACCCAGTGCCAAAGAATCATCAATGAAATTCCCAGTGAAGGCCTGATACAAATAAGTGGCTGCTAACACTGGGCAGCACAGCCAATATTTGACAGTATTTGGTGATGTGTTTATGGAATGATATAGCTAATTGAGTTGAACAACAATTACATACTATTATTTGGACACAGGTGATACATGTTCAATAAAATGACTGCTGCCCAGGCTCCTTGGAACACCAAGAATGTTGTCCATATTAAAACTGAAATATGGAATATGCAACCGACAGAACATGTTTGCTCATCTTCAGTAGTTATTATCAGAAAGAAGGAAGAAACATCAAAATTCTGGTTTTTAAATTATAATAAATAATTCTAAACACAAGTGCCGGTAGTGCATATAGAAAATTATGCTTGGACCTTAAGCGACTAACTGCTGTAACATGCAATGATACCTTTTGGCCGCGATTTATGAATGACTGCCTAGATATGTTGTAGAGTACCTCTTGTTTTAATACACAAGAGGTCTTCTGGCTGCTGAATGAAACTTAATGATGAACATAGATGATCACAAGCTGTTTTCATGACTGTGAAAGAACTGTATGAATTTTACTTCATGCTATTCAGTCTGTGTAATGTATCTGCCCTTTTCAAGAGGCTGGTGAATCTTTTACTAATAGTACTGCAAACGAAAAGGTGTCTTATCTCTGTTGATGACACTAGTCTTTGGTTGCATACTAAATGCACTGCTGAGAACCTGAAAATTCCATTCAGTGCTTATCAAGGATGCCAGCTTGAAGTTGAAACCAGGAAAGTGTGTATTCATGTTCACAGAAGTGGAGTTTGTCAATCACATAGTAGCAGAATCGGAATCTTCACTGATTCTGTACAGATTACAGTGATAATAGACTGCTTCCATCCTGAAACCAAACAATAAATGGGCAGATTCGTAGGTTCCAAGTCATATTATACGTGGTCTACGAAAATTTTTCCCAAGGCAGCTGAACCTCGGTCTGCCATAACCAAAACTTGTAGGTACTTTGTGTGTATACAGGAATGTGATCATGCATTCAAGTTATTGAAAAATGATTTTGTCAAAGCAATGGTACTGGATTATCTTTTTCAGGACTGACCATTCATGATGGATTCCGACAACAATGATAGTGAAAATTTGAGTGGATTATCAGAGGTACAGGATGGTATGGAACATATAATTGTATATGTAAGCCATAAACTAACTGCTGCTAATCAAAAATACTGTATAACACGACCAGTATTGCTTGCATCTGTATTTGTTAAACATTACTGATACAACTTGTATAACAGATAGTCAAGTGAACTATACCTCATTGAAATGGCTTATGAGCTTCAAAAATATGCAAGGTGAGGCTGTGCATTGGATAATGACACTGAAAGAGCGCATCTTTGTTATTCAACCCATCCCAAGGCACCAGCATGGAACCACTGAGGAATTATCATTCAATTAATATACTTTTTCATTTAATGATGGGTTCCTGTACACCATGCAATGCTCCAAGACATTTTATCAGTAGTGAAGACAAATAACGAGAACCGACACACTTTCACATTTTAATGTAGTCCGAAACTTTGACTGAAGCAGCTGAAGAACACAAACATATCTAGGGTCATACTTTCCATGCAGCAAGGAGAAGCAAGAACATCAAAAACTGGTGACCATAATACAGCATTGAATACTTAACTAAGACTGCAATAAGACATGTTTTACCATCATTATCTAACTCAATGACTAAAAATATTCTATAATTAATTTTGTAGATTTTTATATTTAGAATTCTACAAAATTTTGAAATCGAATTCACCTATTAGGTATGATATAGTTATTAAAGTAATGATGTCCAATTATTTCGACAGACGCTCAATATACCTATTATACAAAATCAACAAACACAGTTTTCTAGGTGAAGATGTTTATTGTGCAACTAACAAATCTACTCTATTGATCAAACTTCATTGAAGCTCTACTTTTCAAACAATAAACCTATTTTTCATTAAAGCATGTGTTTTGCTTATTCTACAGTTCTTTATTTTTTATCTTTCAATACAAAACTTGTAATATCTCCCTTTCGTATCCACAATTCTTGTGTTGTATAATGATTTGTTTTATAAATACATATTTACGATAGTCTTAACTAATAATTTGTTTAGTAACCATTTTAATATGTTTCCTAAAGCTATATTTTGAAATTAGAAAAAAAACTAACGTATGTATGTTACTCCTTCAGTATGTTTATTACTAAATACCAAACATTAATTCATTTCATATCATATTCGTTTATCTTAATATATATATATATTTCTTTACAATATTTATGCAAGACAAGTTATTTTTCTGATTTTCATTCTAGGAAACACGTTGAAGTTTATGTAAAGGTTATGAAAAAAAAAGGTTTTTTTTTTCAAAGCTACTATTTCAAACTTTCAGTGTAATATTGGTTGTATAAAAGATAATGCATTCCGTAATATTCTGAATTATTTTCTATAACAATGAATGAAATTCCTTTGGAACTTGAAACACATTTTCTAAACAATGAACTTCTTCTATCTTAAGAAACACCTATAATTCTTTCCTTTGGGGTAGTTTTTATTAGGTTGATTTCTTTCTTGTCTTTTGTAATCGAAACAAATTCTTTTATTTTCTTTGCTATGTGCCACATACACTAAAGTGATTAGTAAAAGGACGAGAAGTAATTGTCTTTCATTTCTTTCGTGTTTTAATATGCAGAATTGTAGCTCCGTTCCTTAACCACTTGATAAGTTTTGAAAAAGCAACAACAACAACAACAACAAAAAAAAAACACATTCATTTATGATATTCATTGTTAAAGGGTGGATTGAGTCTACCACCTGAAATCAGTCGAGTGGGTTTCTTTGTGACTTATCAGCCTAAAGCCTTTTTTTTTAAGTAAACATTATGCAAAAACAATGTTTGATTTTAAGCGCTAAGCTACACAATGAGCTATCTGCGTTGTGTTCATTGTGTGTATTGAACCATGATTTGGCGTAATAAGCCTTCATGGTTGCTGCTGCTTAGCCACTTTTAGCCAAAAATATCAGAACAGAAAATAAATTTTATAATATATATAAAGGTTTTTTTATTATTATTATTTTTAGCTTAATAACAACACTATTAAGCATCTTTCGCAGTTTCTGAGAAATCTATAGAAGGCAAAGGAAGTAATCACACACGAACACTAACATTTTACAACTCATAATGCTTACGCTATAGCCTAACTAATATTTCTCATGACACACTCTTGTCCCCACCCCCGAAGTTCAGCGAAAAATCTGATGGTTTTGATAAGGTTTTGATACCCGCTGTTGAAAACAGGTAGCCCATTGTGTAGCTTTGC